AAGCAATTGTGTCTACTAAAAATATTAATTGGGGGTGGGACATTCATAGTAGCTACTTAAATGGGAAGGGGGGAAGGTGTGCCCCTTCCCGACTGCGACTGGAAAAGCGTATTCGTATGAATGCTAAGAAACTTAGCTAGGTGTTTCGTTGCATAGTATTGGCTCATCTGCTCATAAAAATAATTAAATAAATCATTCGATTTCCGAGCATAGAGCAGAGAAGACACATTGAAACGATGACACTTAGAAAAATTCTATTCCCTCATGAAATTGCTAATTTGTGGCAAGAGCTTTCTGTGGATGAGAGAAATAGAAAGAGAGAGAGAGAATTGGCTCTAATTTAGATTCTGATGAAGACATAAAATTGAATAAAAGTGACTATGAAAATACTGAAGAAAATGCAAATGTAATTGATAATATTACAGTAAATCCTGATATATGGTTGCTAGGGATGGCCCAGAATGGATATGGCATAATAGTAAGGTGACCAACCGTCCTCATTTAGGGAGGACAGTCCTCCTTTTATCAGTTCTGTCTTTCCTCGAAAAGTATCCTCCTTTTTGTCCTTCTTTTCAATACTTTAAAATTTATCTGTTAATCTCTATATTCAGAGATGAATCAAACATGTTTCCAAAATGTCGAAGAATGGTCTGAAACAAATATCAGAGGAAATAACAGATTTCAATGGTATTTTTTGACTTCGCCGCAAGCAAATAGGGCAGATATAGAAAACTACGTTGAGTTTTTTTTCGAAACACATGTCTGATATTAAAATCGATGACAATTGTATGTTGGAAGTAGAAAGGAGACTGAATGTATATTTAAATTCAAATAAATTAGAACAATTGGAAAATCAACATGCCGAGAAATTTGTAAAAGATGGGGGAAATTACATAAACCATTTCAAAAACGAACACATTCCATATGAAAATGTAATTATTCTTGCTGAATTTACGTTTTGCGGCCCTAGAACAAATGCAGCAGTTGAAATAGTTTTTTTCAGTTGGTAATGCTTTTTGTGAAGTGACTAGTGAGAAATCAAAATTGAATGTTAATATTTTAGCGACAGTGCTTACCGTAAAATTCAGTATGAAGGATATTTTTTGCCCGAACTTTTCGATATATTAGAAAATGATATATTGACAAAAAAAAAGTTCATTCAATGGAAAAATACTTGTTTAAGATAATAATTAAAAAGAATCTAAGTGTAATTAGCGTATTTTTCTTTAAATTAATAAAACGTTTCATTTGTTTAAGTTGTCATTTATTCTTAAATTTTTCATCCTCCTGTTCATTGTAAGAAATGGTCACCTTAATAATAGTAATATTCCTGGGACATTTGCAACTCGAAATGTTTTGCGACATAGCAGTGCCCCCACAAGCTTAACGAAACATAATGTTAACGTCAGATTCAAGGGTCATAATATATGATAATTACATGAAATAATATTAAAAACTCTTAAAACCTTATTGAACAGTAGTACTGTGTAATTATTTATTTAAAACGATTACTTTATATATTTTATATCGAGGTGTCGAAACGACACTGGTGGATGTTTAAGGGTTCTAGAGTTAAATTATGATTTGAGCTGATTGATATTGTAATTTCTTTTTAATTTTCTCATTAATAAAAGAAAGTCAAAAAAGAAATTTATCAAGAAAAATTTTAAGATTTTTGAAATTATACTTCGTTTGGGGCGTTAGAGAAATAAGATGAGCGTGAATTTTTATGATGCGCACGCACACCGTCACGGATGCGAAGATGCTTTGTCTAGAAATATACAGAACATTGCAGATCATTGCCGTACTCTCTTTCTCTTTACTTCCCTGAAGAAGGGGTCACCAGGGTTAGAACAAGAGACCTCTCAATCTGCAATCAAATGCTATACCACTGAGCTATACACCCCGTGTCAGCAAACCTTGGCTTTGCGTTCCGTAGGAACGGATACGAAAATGCTTTGTCTAGAAATATACAGAAATGGACAGACCATTCCCGCCTTCAAAAAAAATATTTTTCTTCACTTTCTTGAAGAAGAGGGTACCCATGTTTGAACCGCGCGCGAGGACCTCTTTATCTGCAGTCGAATGCTCTACCACTGAGCTATACCCCCGCGTCAGCGAACCTTTGCTTTCCGTAGGAAAGGATACGAAAATACATTGTCTAGAAATATGCAGAATTAGACAGATCACTGCCGCCTTCGAAATCCTCAAAAAAATAAACATTTCTCTGTAGAAAAGGACACCCGGGGATGAACCGGGGACCTCTCGATCCAAAGTTGAATGCCTTACCACTGAGCTATAACCCCCGTGTCTGTGAACCTTTGCTTTGCGTTGATTTGTGACGTCACTACTGGTAGGGAAAGATCGTCCTTTGCCTACGGAGCTTATCTGATGCATTTGTTTGAACACTTTTCGTTATTACACCAAACATACTTACAGGAAATTTAAAAAAAAAATAACAAATTAATCTTTAAATTTTGCTTTATGTACATAAAACATAAGAGTAAATATTAATTTACCTATTTAAATAACATTTGCAACTATATGATTATAGATGTATTTACTACGAACGCATTGCGATGAACCTTAACACATTTATTACATTGGAGCAAATTATAAGAGCCTTTTGTATTCTTATATTTCTTTCTGAAGATATACTTTTTTTTAGTGTTAGGGAAAAAGGATAAGGGTAAATTTTTAAGATGCGCCCTCACGCCGTCGTAGATGCACGCGCATACTTTCACGACACCGATGTGTAACATGCACTTTTTTGGTGCTATGGGACTGATATTTGGCGATCATAAAAACTATTGTTATAAACCATATCTGTTGGGACACATCCTTCTCCCTCTTCAGCTTTTTGGCCTATGTCTTGGCACCCAAACCTCACAGTTCATTCGCACCTGGCTCATTCGATCCACCTTTATCTGCTATTCCAGTTATTATAATTCCATGCTCATATGTCTATTTCTTCTATAGTGTTTAACTGTATTAAACTTTTTAAATTTGTTTAAATTCACAATATCTTGGCACTTGTTGAGTCTCGGACGAGAATTGAACCAGGGGTTTTACTCATCGAGACCCATCCAGTCATCTGCTTCATTCCCATTATGTAGGCATGGGGAGGGCTTAAGCACTATTATACACTATCTGGCCAAAAGTATCCGGACACCCAGTGGTATGGATTTATAGTGTCCTGAGGCACATATTAATATGATGTTGGTCCCCCTTTTGCATCGATGACAGCCTGCAAACGTTTGGGAAGACTTTCCACCAAATTTTGATAGGTGACCATTGGAATTGCCTTCAAGGCGTCCATCACATCTGAAATGAGTGCTTGCAGTGAGGATGGTCGATTTCGCTGGCTACGTAATCTGCGCTCTAATTCGTCCCAAAGGTGTTCTATGGGATTTAGATCGGGGCTCTGAGAAGGCCAGTCTAGTTTTTGAACACCCATTTTGTCAAACCACGTCTGTGCAAGCCTCGATGTGTGAATTTAGCAGTTATCTTGCTGGAAGAGAAATGGGCCTTTCCCGAAATATTGCCATAGAGTTGGGAAAGCAGAGCATTCGCCAGAATGTCCACAAACACCTCAGAGTTCATATTTCCAATCACAGGAACTAACGGACCCTGGACAAACCACGAGAAACACCAACACACCAATATGCTTCCACCACCAAACTTAACATTCGGCACAATGCAGTCACTAAAGAAACGTTCACCGGGCATCCGTCAAATCCAGATGCGTCCATTCGACTGTCAGACTGTACAGCGAGATTCATCACTCCAAAGAACAGTTTTCCACATGTCCACATTCCAATGCTACACCATTGCAATTGATGCTTCGCATTCTGTGGAGGGATGTTTGGCTTGTGAGTGGCTGCATGACCATGGAATTCTACGTTTTTAAACTTTTGACGGACGACTGTGCTGCTAACACTAATTACTGATGAACTTTGGAACTCCTGAGAAATTTCCACCAACGAGAACTTGCGATTTTGTTTCACTACCCTTTTCAGAGTTCTGCGGCTGCGTTCACCAAGTATTTTCGGCCTACCGGTTCGTTTTTTTGCCGTTTCACTGCCTCGACGTTTCCACTTCACAATTACATCACTCGCAGTGGATTTAGGTTTTTGTAGAATGACCGCAATCTCCCGAACTGATTCCCCACAAAGGTGGCATCCCTCTATATTGCCACGATCAAACTCACTAAGCTTCTTTGACTTACTCATTGCCTCACAAACGCATAAATACAAACTGACAAACCACTTCTACACTATTATAGCTTTCAATTACGTATCAAATTGCGTCACTCGCCAGAACCACTTTTTTAAGGGGTGTCCGGATACTTTTGGCCATATAGTGCATCATGTTCCCATGTTAATCCTATGGAGACTGCAAAAATTTCACCCCCTAAAGACTTGAACTTTGAACTTGATTTTTGGAGGTCCACCATATTTTCGTATTAGTGCGAGCTTTACGTGGCATTGGCCCCCTCCCCCACAGGGCTTTTCCAGAAATATCTCGAATCCTATGCCATCTTGGTCGACCGCATTCACTATATTCGATTGTTCTTCCTATGAGCATCCTAGATATATTTTTTCAGTACCATAGCCCCCTTTCTTTGCCCATATTTAACATTCTAAAATTATTTTAATTATAATTTTTTTTAATCCCGCATAGCTCCGAGGAGTGTTAAAATTCGTTAATGAAATTCGGACCATACGTTCTCCTCGTTGAGCTGTTTCATCTGTTATAATTCGTGTGTAGATAGTGGGCTTAGGGGGGAGCGTTATCACTAAAATTAGAATCCCCATGCTATTGCTTTGAGGTTCGATCTTTTGATGACGTAACGATATCACAGAGATAGAAGGATGAAACTTTGGGATCACCTACTACTATGTGCATCGTTGGAATGGACGTGACTATCTACGTCACAGTTATTCGCCCCCCGGGGAGTTAGTTTCGTTTTCCTTTCCCGATCTAGCGCCACCCCATTTGCAACTACAGACTCCGGACCGATTCTAATGGATTCTTCTTGTATTTGCCCACAGCCAATCCCAGTTTCGAGTTGCTGGGTGTCCTGCTTCTATTTTGTTTAATTGTTTTCATTATTCTAAAATGACCATAACTCGGGGACTCTTCAGGCGGATGTCTTAATTTTCTCAGGAAAGATTTTTCACTCCGAGACATTCAATATGAGGTCTCAGGTATCACATTCGGTTCACTTTATCTCTAGATGCATTCTGATACCCCCGTGTTATTGGTCCTATTGTCCCTAAGCAGGGGTGTCTAAATTTATTTAAAACGGGCTTATATCAGGTTTTGCTGGTCCGATTGACTGACGGTTAGTATCGCTCAACTCTGCTCGTGATTGCTTTTCGGCCTTAGCCCAGCTTGTCCTGCTAAAGATTTTTAGAAAGATTTTAATCTTGTTACGCCAAAGAAGTATAACTTCTTACGTGCGTACATAAGTACACACACACTTTTAATATTTCTAAAACTAAAAAAACTTCAATTAAATACTAATCATCAACTAAATTTCACTAAGTATTAAATATGAACAACTGAGTCAGGCAGTGAAAATTATAATAATACGAGTTCGGAGGTAATTTAATGTTTTCTGGATTGTTTGATATAAATATTCATTACATTTATTTAGGTTTTCTATTCATTCATTATTCTTCCTTTTTATTTAAATATTCTTATGAAACTAGAAATAAATTCATATTTAGATTTTTCTTGTACGTTACTATAGGTAAATTTTTAAAGAAAAAAAATACTGCATAATTGTTTACTTCTTTCCTGAAAAAAAAGTTACAAAACTCTGGAAAGCAGAAAATTACCATAAAATACAAAATAATAAAATTTACTAATTTGACAGAAATGCTGGAAGGAAGCTTAAAATCGTGATTATGGTATGCCTAATACAATTATATATACCTTAACTAGGGTTGATAAGGAGTTAATTTCCTTATTCCACTCTTAACTATACAATTTCTTGTACCATAATGTTTTAATTAACCTAATTGGTCTAGACAGATTTATGTGTTAATGTAGCTCATGCTAGAAATAGAGAGTTCACTAATCTAGTTGATTATAGTGCCTTGTTTTACTTGCATTAAAAAATGAAAAACACTAAAACTACTTTTATGACATATGTTCTTAATTTGTGAAAACAGAAAAAAAAAGAGGTTCAACAAGAAAATAATATTAACCCAGTGAAAAGAACACATACACGGGTGGGTAAAACTCGACTTTAAAGATTCCGTTACATCAGTGCTTCTCAAACTTTCAATGTTTGCGACCCAATATTAAACCAAAATTTAAACCCCCCCCCCCCCCCTCCATACAATAACGATGTATTAAATTCCATAATAATATACTCTGACACAAAATCCACTATACGACTTTAATTTCTTAAGTCCCACCGACATATATAAACGTTTCGCTTAGCCAGTGTGTTAATTGCCCCAGACGTATATATACGTCTTTCCATACTATCTTTTCTGTGAACTGCTATCCAGAAAGTTATTCCGAAGGCTTTGAAAAACAATAAAATGACCTTGACAGTGTTTGCGAAAAATTTTCTTGTTTCAGAGGATTTCATTATTTATTCCTTTTCTATCCCACTCAGTACACCGCATACGGTTACGTACGTGGCATTAGGGAACGAATCGCGTTAATTTTTAATTGGCATTTAAGGGATTAATTATATAAACCGTACAAATTAACCAGATAAGTGATAATGGCATATAATTTTATATACGACAAATCCATGGGATCACTGGTAATTATTAAACTTAACTTCTTAGTATTGATAAATTAATTATAAAATAGATTGTGTAGTACTGATACATTTAGAAGTGTATTATAGTGTAAATTTGTATTTCATTTTTTATTATGTCAGAATGTATTTAATTTCAGTAAGTTAATAATTTGTGTAAATAATCTTTTGTTTTCGACTTTTCAATATGCTCGCGCCCTCCTCGTAGGGTTATCACGCCCCCCTAAGTGGGCGCGTCCCACAGTTTGAGAAACACTGCGTTGCATACAAATGAAGCTTATAAAAGCGCTTATAAAGCCAAGTAACATATAGGTTGTATACACATAAGTCATGTTACTAATACAAGCCTGATAATAAACCTTAAGATAAGTTTGTTAGTGGAAGAAATACTGATTTACTTTTCTTATTAATCAGCCAGTGTGTTAATTGCCCCAGACGTACATATACGTCTTTCCAAAGTACTATCATCATTTAATTAAACAAGATGTCACTGACGAGACTTTGAAATTCTGAAAATTA